GCTCGTGCTTTAGAAGGTTGACTATCTAATGTTGGCATAGAAAGCCAAGTACACGGTAGCTGAAGTAGTCACAGTAAAAGGAATTTGGTGGTGTTATTATCTTTAGTACTAGTCACCATATACAAAGCTGTATACTAGCACACCTGAATGTACTCAACTAATAATCTCTAACACCTAACACTAACATTGTCAATCAATATAAACCTTCTAAGGGTTGTTTTTTTCTGACTAAAAGTTAACATGACAGTGTTGTCTTAAGCTCTAGTCTCCTTTTCAAACAGTGTCACCTCAGTTAAGCGGGTCTTCCACGAATTGGAAGATTGGTTGTTCATGTCCTGTCTGCTCCCCAGCCCGCAATGTGGAAGTGTCCAGAGCCATGATACTGAATCCCAAATTGCTCCTGAAGGCTGTGCCATCTTTGAGTGTTTGGAAAACTAGAAATGCTGCTGTTATTTGCAGAAAGCTAAAGAAGCCAATCATTTCCTCATATTTTGTTTTTATTTGATCATGTATCCATTTCCTATACCTGATTATCTTGTTCATGGTTAGGAACGCCTGGAGCCTGTACCAGCATGCATTGGCTGAGAAGCAGTGTACATCATGTACTGCTTCCCAGAACATCATCAGGCTAACAAGTGCTTGTATTGAGAATCGTTTCTGACTTGGAACCGGTTCCAAACTAATACAAGTTTTCTGCAAAACATTGACTGCACTGCTGTCAATGTAGACACATGCTTCAACACACATGTACAAGGTTTCAATACAATTGACCTTTTATATTTCTACCTGGTATTAATATGCATTCTCATTATCTTAATCCTACGCACACAAATTATGTTGGAAGAACTAACATGGCACATCTCAGTTTAAGGGAAGCACTAAATGGTTTAGGGCCAAAATACATTTCTGATCTTCTGCTTCGTTACGAACCATCCAGACCTCTCAGGTCATCTGGGGAAGGTCTGCTTTCTGTCCCCAGAGTCAAAACTAAACAAGGAGAAGCAGCGTTTAGTTATTATGCTCCGTATATTTGGAACAAACTCCCAGAAAACTGCAGGTCTGCTGAAACTGTCAGTTATTTTAAAATAAGACTGAAGACTTTTCTTTTTACCATTGCTTTTAATTAAATATTTAAGATTTTTCTTTTTACCACTGCCTTTAAGTAGTATTGATAACTTACACTGCACTGTAACTTTTACAGTCCTGTTTTCTTTTTTTTTTTATCTTTTTACCATTGCTGTTAATTAAATATTTACACAGTGAGAAATGAGTAGGTAATTGAGTGAAAAGATAATGAGAGTGAGATTGAACAGAGTGAAGGAAGTGGTCTTAAATCTCACGCCTGAGTGATTTGCAGGAACCTCTGTCCACCTGTAAACGCGCAGGTGGGTCTAGAGTATAACTGGATCAAAGTCGCCTGCTGACAGACATGTCCTGGTTTCTCTGTAGTGTCCAAGGGTTTTTGGAGTTTCAGTGGACCCAAAGATTGCTGTGGACCCGAGTACAGACTAGTTAGAGAGAGTAGATTAAGTGTACTTCTCTGTTTATTCTCTTTTCAAAATAATTGTAACTCAATTATTAGCTCAACCCCTCAGCCTGTTTTTATTTTCCATTTAACTCTTTTAACCGTGATTGTACACTGCACTGGACGGAACCTGTATTTTTTCAATTTCCCTATGTTGCTTTTAAAGCACTTTGAATTACCTTGTTGTTGAAATGTGCTATACATATAACTTGCCTTGCCTTGAAAATGAGCATAATATTACCACTTTACGAGTGTTTCATAGGCCTTAAACTGAACTTGCTGGATTATATTTCATCTTCTGAATAGTGCTCTGACTAAGCACATTAACTATAGGCCTTAACTTAGCTCTGGGGTCTGGATCTCTGGCTGTGTGTCACCTGCTCCCTTCCTGTTCATGCACAACATCCATTGCTACAACTATTAAGAGTCCTATTATTAATATTCCTATAATTATTAGCACAATTATTGATTTTCTGTACCAATGCTACTTTTACTGTTTGTATTTTCTGTATGGATATTGTGCTGGCTCCCCCTTCTCTCTCTCTCTCTCACCACCCAACAGGTCGAAGCAGATGGTCTCCCACCCTGAGCCATGGTTCTTCTCCGGTTTCTGCCTCTATAAAGAAAGTTTTTCCTTGCCTATGTTGCCAAGTGCTTGCTCATGTTGGGAATTGTTGGTTCTCTGTAAATAATATTACAAAGAATACGGTCTAGACCTGTCAATTTGAATAATTGTTTAGAAAATCAAAGGCAGTTGTAGATTGAAACTCAATTGTTGTACAATGTGCCATTAGTATTAAAACGGTGCTTCCTTTAATTAAAGAGACATTTAAAAATGGAGTCCGGCGGCCGTGTGGACAGACCTGTGTTCAGGTAAGTTAGCCAACCTGTCAACTTCCCTGTTAACTTCCTCTTTTCGTTAGCCTGCGGGCTAACCACCAAACTAACCAGCGGTTTGACCAACTAGCCCGTCAAACCACGAAGTTGCGGAGCTTTTCCTCACCTCGTTTGTTTTTCGTGCCGTTCTTCTTCGCCGTCAGGAGCTCCTGTTCAATTTTCTTCTCCAAAAAATCCTGCTTTTTTGCCAACATTTCCTCGGTTTCTCTGAGTCGCTGGACAGCCTCCTGGGGTGTCGGCGCTTTCCCTCCCTTACCCCCGCCGCCGAATAACTTACCAAACAACGACATTTTTGTTAATAAATGTAAACAAGAACGGGTGGATTAACTGTTCACAAACAGCTGGTACTTTCTGATACCGAACAGTTAATCGTTAAACTGCTCTGTTGTCTTCTCGTCAACTACCGTCACGAGCCAGAGGTCTGCTGCTGCCGCTGTTGTTGTTTTTCGCTCTTCTTCCGCGTTTCAGGCCTCGTGATGTCATTACGTCAGCGCAAATACGTGACTCATGCGTGAACAAAGTGCGTGAGACACGGGGGAATTTCACAAAAGAGCAATCAGTGTGTTTTTTTAGTACTAAAATTGCACCTCTTTTGGCTTTGTTTACACCAGAAAACTCTTCCAAAACTTAAGCAGAATCATCATTGACCATTGAGATGTTGCACTGATGTGGGAGTATGTGATATTTCACTTTTACAATAGTTAAAATAAAGTAAAATAAGTACTTTATAATAAAGGTATTAATTCTAAGGGCAAAATCCCCTATTTATAAATGTAAATTCAGCAGTAAAAAATAATGAGGTTGAGCATTAATTCAATTTATTTCTAAATCCAACAACAAAAAGGCAGTAAAAACTGTCAATATATGGTCCTAATATATGGTACTCTTTTAATGTCTTTATATAATATAGACTACTACTGGGACAATGTGCAATTGAATTACAGTTCCTCATGAAAATGTTCATGATTGCAATGAGGGTTACATCTGATTTGTTTTTAATAAAACGCCAGGCTATTATGTTGAGTAATGTTCATTTTGTTGCTTACATTTTATACAGGGTAACATTCAATGACATTTCAAAAGTAACCTTCCCAACACTGCTTATTAAGTTATGGTTAATATTAGCAATATTTACATAGCCTACATATTTCTAAATATATATATATATATAAATATATATAATTTTTTTATTTAATGCTACATAGTTCACTCACTTCAATACTTTATATGGTCATAATCCCTCTGATTTTCCTCCACAACACTGAGTTAGTGACTAGCCAAGAAGAATGGTTGCTTATAGTCAGCTGCAAGCATCTAGAGGCCAGCCCAGCTCCTTCAGAAAACTACGCCTCCCGTGATGCACCACGCCATACTTTTCCAGCTGAAGATGTGAGTGACCTGAACGCCAACCAATCAGGGCCTGAGTTGTCTGAGGAACTGGAGGAGAGGGGTCAACCTGGAGGAAAGAAACAATGGCGATGTAGACAGACAGACAGACAGACAGACGCATAGATAGATAGATAGATAGATAGAAATCATACTTTGATGTATTTTTCCGGAGGGGTCGGAGGTCGTGCTGCTAGGTGATGAGGAAGCTCCACTCTGACCGCCTCCTTCAGCTTCACACTCTCACTCATGTACTGAAATACATATAACAGAGGAAGTTGTGTGCTTGAGTGATGGCCACTAATGTGTGATCACATTTGTGTGAATGCAAAGACTTGAAATAAATGCACTTGCTGTGGTACGTTTTCAACAGTAGAGGGCGTGTATGACATCCCTCTACAGCAACGGTTCTCAGAGTGGGGTCGGGGGATCCCCAGGGGGTCCCCAGCAAAAAGGGGAACAATTTATTTTCACCATAATTCCATCCATAAGTAACAAAATACAGAATTATGGCTTTTCGGTCATGGCGTTCACACACTTTCTGTAATAAAACATCTAAAAGCAAAAATCCCCTCAGATGGGAGACGCTGTGACAATATCTTACCAAATGGTCTAATTTGTGTCAGTTGAGAGATTTTTGATGTGAAAAACTATGTGTGCGTGCATGTGTGTGTGCCTGTGTGTGTGTTTGCGTGGATACCTCCTTGTAGACCTTGGTCAAGAAGCCCCACTTGTTGGGCCAGACGTCAGCTGAATCCTTCTCAACTTTCACATGTGCTTTCCTACACACACACACACGCGCGCGCACACACACACACACACACACACATGCAGTAAGTTTAGGTTTTGTATTATATGTGACATATTGCTTCATAGAGCACTGAAATGGAAATGAAACCAGTGTTCCACTTGTAGCACTGCTTGCTTTTCTACAAACAGATCTCAAAAACCTCCTCATCATCTTACATTTATTTTAACCCATAGAAAGCTGAAGATCATTTTCCAGCAAGACACATGGGAACTATCTGTCGAATGCAAAGAAAGTAATAAATTACGTTTCTTAGTTAAAATTAGGCTATGACATGACCGAAAACCTCAATATCAGCAATAGCAATAGCTGTGAGTAAATGTATAAGGCTGATTGCTCTGTCCCCCACGCCAGTATATTGCTGCAATCATCGTAAATATCTTTAAACTCTCGTTATTACACAACATCAACTTATCTCATTAAAACAAATAATGCTTTCATTATATTGATAAACTGAATCTCATTAAAACAAGGAACTTTTTGCGTTATAACATGATAAATTAGTAAGCTTAATTTATTATAGTAAATAGCATGTTGCAGACCCAGGGTAAAAAACAAGGCATTATACATAAAAAGTAAGGGGAAAACACAAGGGAAAAAAGCCATGGGAAGAAAGAGGGGGGAAAAAAATATGAGAATGTTGAAAATACTTACCATAATAACAATAATTGTAATAATTCATTCAAGCACAAATGATGTATTGTATGTTAAATGTTTTCTTAAAAAGATCAGAATTTTAAAATATTAATAATCTCACCAACACTGAGTAAGAATGCTCAGCCCTTTATATAAAGACTGATTGAAACAAAACACTAACACACAACACTGAAAAAAAGTAGCAATACATTCACATTTCCACATTTGGCAGACGCTTTTATCCAAAGCGACTTACATTTGAGCAACAACATACAATCATCAACAGAGCATCAAACACAGCACGAGATCTACAACAGACAATACATATTAATAAAAGCAGCAATAAATACTAGTAAGCGCTAATGACAATAAGCAGGTTTACCAGATTTCATCTTGATGCACAAAGTTGATGGGTTCAGATGTTCGCTGTGAATCCGCCATCTGTCCTGACCAGTTGTGTGTGTGTGTGTGAGGCAGAGGGAGTGTGTGTGTGTGTGTGTGTGTGTATGAGGGAGAGGGAGTGTGTGTGTGTGTGTGTGTGTGAGGCAGAGGGAGTGTGTGTGTGTGTGAGGTTTCTTTCTTTCTTTCTGGCTAATGTTTCACCTGTGTGTAAGTCACACTGACAGACCTGTTTACTGTCGTCATGGAGATGGCGTTCCCTGACACATATCTCTTCTCTAGCTTCTGTGTGTGAAACCGTGGTGACGCTGGGATGAAACCACTGGAGGGTCACTAGGAGCTCAGACATGTCTGTGTTTTCAGTCACTGTTGTGGCGTCCAAAGCTTTGGTCAATTTAAATGTGTATTGTTGTGTTTCTTCCATCCCACGTGACATAAGCGGTGAAAGATTTACTTAAAATATAGTGTTTTCCCATTCCGTGTTTGGCTCAAAAATCATAAGGCAACGAACATGTTGGTCAGAAATTTATGCCAGCTCAGATGTCAGTCAATCAATGCAAGGGAGGAGCTGGTGGCTAATTGCAGAAGGGGTGAGGACCTCTAGTGGGCCTTATATACATTGGGCACTTTTTTCACACTTCTATTGTTACGAATTTAAACAGCGAGGGAAACAAAAATACAGCAGACAGGCTGCGAGCTACTTTCACAACAACTGCTTCACACCTGGTTCATTTGGTTTGGACCAAGGGGGAAGAATTATACGTTGTTGTATTTTAGTTCTGTTCTGGTTAATGTTCACACTGATCTTTTAAAGGAACCAAGAGGAGTAAGTAAGTAAGTTATACAGAATGACAGGTAACACTTTGATTGGACAGTTTTGGTGATTCTCGTCCTTCATCGTCTGCCATCATCAGGACCCATGTGGGGAAATTAAATTCTGGTGACTTTAATGCTTCTGATGTGCATATTTATGGATAATTTATTTATAAGATAGTTTCCTGAAAAGATTTCACGATCAGCAGATTGATTTACTAGTTTAGCTTTTGAAATAATGCATATCTGCGATCATAAAATCCTGTGGTTGGTTCTTTTGCTTTCACATTACAAGCAAACTGCACCAGAGTCAGCCGGGAAGTGTGCCAAGAGCCTCCTTCCAAGCCCTCTATGTTTGTGCCTTTTGGAGTTTTTTTTCTTCAGTTTATTTGGTGAGTGAAATTCTAGTATTTTATTTATGCTAGCAATATTTAGCACATATCAGTGTCTGTGCTCAACATACATGGCTTGTTTGCTTAGCACACAACTTGCCAATTAGTCAGCTTTGAGGATCACCAAGTTGTGCTAATGATGCTAACTTATTGGAAGCGTATGCTAGCCACAGATATAAAATGATGATATGATAATACTTTTGAACGCACAATGCCTTGCAATCATTTTTTGTTTTTAAGGTTAAGTGACCCGTACCAACTGACCAATGAGACTGTAAGAACCTATTCAATAAAACAAGAATAAAACATTTTCTTAAATAAAAATGCATTTGCTAAAGAGTTTCTTACACGCTGCAAATTCAAACAGGAACCAATCAAAAGCATCAGAATAGCATCAAACTTTATTAAACGGCTTAACTGGAGAAGACATGTGACATGAAAAACAGGTAAAGCAACAAAATGAATATTAACATAGCCTAGCTTTTTTCAGAAATGTATCAAATGTAATCTACAATGTAATCATGAACATTTTCTTAGTTAGCCTAATTGTAATTTAATTACACAATTCCCCCCCAAAATCTCACCATGGGCTGTAAGCTATGCAACTGATTTCAAGGTGCTTCTGATCATTTTCAAATTACTCCCACAGCATATTGTGTTGCATCTTTTTGTGTGAAATATGCTTCATAAATAAAGCTTTATTTTATAAAAAAAGAGGTTATCAGGTAAAAAGAAATACATTTAAAAAAATAATTATAAAGTGTTTGAAAATCGTGGATCACAGCTTTTCCGCTTGTACTGGATCAGTCCCAAGGACAGAAACACTGCTCCCAACAGCAGAGCACAAACTCCACCAATCAGGTAGCTCCTCTCAGAGTGATTCAAGGAAGGGTCTGCAACAAAAATGATAAGAGAAACATGTAAGTGCAGAACACACAATGCATGTTATTGACAAAATAATGCTGCACTTAACATACAGAAGGGATATTTTACTGTTGTAATCCTCACCCCAGTCTAATATCTTGGGCTCGCTGAGGCTGGCGTGCTCCACTACACAGCTGACCCTGTCCTGCCGGCCAGGTGTGTACTCCAAGTAAGAGTGGACCTGATAGGTCCAGTCTCCGTTTGTCATTACATCGCTTACTGTCACGCCCGAGGTCACTTCCTGTCCATTCTGGTGCCATGCAACCTTGATATATTTAGGGTAGAAGTCGTAAGCACTGCACACCAGCATGGTTTCATGACTGGAGCTGGTGGTCTCTACAAGAGTAACACTGGGTTCAGCTGAAATCAGAAGATGAAAGGTTTTTACTGAAAGATGACATATCCACCATCTGTGAAGCAACAGCACATGTCTGGCATGATGAAATAGGAGTTTTAGGTAGAATTAAATGGTGGAACTATATCTTGGTGAATAGTGAGTGTGTGCAGCTCCCCCAAGTCTTATCGTGAAAATGAGGTTGCCAGGTTTGACACATCAGGCTTGGAAAGCCTGTATATCGTACCTGTGCTCACAAACCCTATCTGGCAACTTACACAGAGCTTGAGAGCTGCACTCAAGTTGTGGAAGAATTGTTCCAAAGCTTCTCTTTACCACACACTGTTGTTTTTACAGATTTGAGTATGGTTTAAATTAACAAGATACAACGTGTTAATTGGTGAGCTATAGTTGTTGGTAGGTGTATTTTTGAATCCTGACCGCACCTCTGTACCTACTTAAAACACAGACACAAGATTGAATATAGATCATGTAATCAGTATTTGAATATTTACCCCTGTTTTCCTCAGTTATGTTCAAAACCAAACCAACGTTGTTGACACAAATAAGCTGCCTCTCAATTTTTCTCTGTAGAATGTCGTACTTGTCCCCATTTAACATTGATGCAGTGTTTAATCCAGCTGGAGTGAAGCCCGTCCAGTTCCCGACCGTGCTGTTATACTGCATCATAAACTCTTTGTTAAAATACCAGTCAACCAGATACTCCACCTGCGCCTGCTCTCTGGAGTACACTGCACACCAGAAGTCAGCATACATGAAGTATCCATTTCCATCAGCAGCACAATCTGACAGGTAAAGGAGAAGGCACAAATTGTACTGTGTTTTTTAATATGATTGTTTTAATGTGCAGATACAGTACGTCCATTAGTATTTAATACATGGTTTGTTTAGGCCTACATGCAAGAACTTTGCTACAATAGTACAACAATTAAGTGTTTTTCCTGTCATTTTTTTTTCAACTTTTACCTGTTAGATATATTGCTGTTTTCTATCAAAGTAATTTTTAGCCAAGTTAGCAGCATGGTTCCTCATGGGTGGCAATGTCTGTCTGTCTGTCTGTCTGTCTGTCGGTCTGTCGGTCAGCCAACCACTTTCATCCAGACTGAAAAATCCCAACAACTATTGACTGCATTGCCATAAAATGTTACACAGACATTAATGATACATGAAAATATAAAAGATTATAACTGGCTGCTAAACATTAGTACGTTAGCATTGTCAGTGTGAGCATGTTACATTACATTGAAAGCGTATTAAGCAGGGAGGTAATGTCCAGTATGAACAGGAGGAATAATTACAGTAAGCAAACCTTGTTTCAAGGTTTAAGTGACTTAAATATTTGTAAACATGCCCTTCAAAACAGTCAGTTAATTGCTATAACAGTCCACAGAGATGTACCTAAACTGGGCAAAAAACTTGTATCATGTGACTCTGTGGCTCAGTTGCTATAGAGTTCAAGTTCCTCATTCAGATCACTGGAGTGTACACAAAAATTAAAATACAAAAGGAGAAACTAGACGCACTTAATCTGCAGAGATCTGTTCACACGCTACAGACATCAGAAAGACAACACCTTGGATTGCCCAGTTCACTGAACCCACTACACTCACACACTCACACACTCACACACACACACACACACACACACACACACACTACTATTGGTGGTATCTAGTCATGCAGATAGTTTAAGTTTAATCTACTGTGGTTTGAAGATTTGCAAAGGTATGCCAACCCCCCAAAATACTACAAATACAATGGAGGTGAATGCATTATAGTTTGTGGCTTGTCAAAAAGTTTTATTTGAACGTAACAATTATTTAAATATGTAATGAAGGTTACTACCAGCATACCAGCACAACAGTTGTGTTTCCTTCACTTTCACATTAAAATTTAATTGTAACATAGAATTATGTTCTATTAAAGTATGCATGTATGTTTTTCCCATGAATCACATTGTAAAGGCTATTTGGTATAAAAGGGCTTGAGACATACAGTCCTGGATATACAGCTAATATATAATAACCTAATCTAAATTACCTTCTGGTATATCAACGTCATTATTTTAACCTCAACATGCTGTGTGACCATACAAAACCAATGGACACATAACAATGGATAACAGTGGAATTACTCACCCACCAAAAACAGAGAGAAAAGACATGGAAACAGCAGGTACATGAAGCGTTTCATGTTGAAGCCAGAATGAGACTGAGACCAGCGTGTGGACACTCAACCCTTGCTGTGCAGTTCACAAATGATTCATTTCTTTCAAGTACACTTCCTGTAACCAGCCACCCCAAGCCTTTTTTTCCTATTTAGTCAAACCTTTAGCTTAAAAACTCTAATTTGTAACAGTAAATGCATTTTTAAACAACCACAACATAATTAGAAAACATTTTTTGTGAATGCATCTAAAAAACTGTCTATGTTTTTTATGTGTTTTTTCTATAACATATGTTCATGGGGACTAAAGCATTTTTATTGTTATGTTTAACAATAAAACATACAAATGTTTAGGCGCTCTTAGGGAATCTTTGTTGAGTTAAGACAATGAATATAAAGTTTGGTAATTTCATCATGAATGACAGCTTTCATGAACAAGTTCCA